CACTTATATTAATAAAAATCGTGAAAATCACGGTTTTGAATTTTTGAACGAGTGAGCGTTGGAAAACTTGCGGCTCCAGATTAGCGTTCGTTGACAAATTAAACCGTTTCGTCCTTGTCTTCCTCGATGCCGTACTGCAGGTCGTTTCGAATTTTTCGAATGCCGGGCGTAGGTGGTCCTTGAACAAGAACAAGGCATCGGTTGTTTTAGGTGTCCTCGATGTTTCTATGTCAAATTTACTTCCACGAGTGAAATCACAAATAAAATTAAACAACTCTCAATTCACGCTACAATGTCAGATTCACGGAATAACATCGAATCATCGATATTTGATGTAGCAACCCTAGCGATAACCAAACCGAACCTGTCCTTAATCGATCACTAATATTAACCCCAACTTGCCTAACCTAACCCAAACCTAACATAACCTGTTCCTAACCCATCCCTAATCCTAACCTGACGAAATGTTGAACCTGTCCCGTCCTAACCTAACATGGCCCTAACAATAACCCTTTCTAATATAATTCATACTCAAACTAACCAAATTTGTCCCTAACTCTACCCCTAGCCTAACCTAACGTAACACGTTCTTAGCTGTAAACTTCACCTAAAATAATCCTGAAACTATCTTGGCCTAACCAATCCTTAACCAGTTTATATTCCTAACTCAAACTCTAACTCAACCTTAATCTAACCTAAAACTAACATATTACTAACGACAACCTTATCTAAGGCTAACCTAACTTGTCCTTAACCAGTCCCTAATCATAAACCTAACCATAACCAATCTAACACGTTCCTAATACTACTTATATCCCTAACGTAACGTAATTCTAACCAAGTCTGGCTAACCTGTCGTTAAACCTGTCTAACCTAACCCATCCCTAGCCATAATCTTAAGTCTGGTCTAACAGCACAACAGAAAAACGCAGATAGATCCCCGCAGAAGTTGAAGTCTTCAAACTAGCAAAAACTGTTCTTAACCCGTCCCTAATTCTAAGCCTCACCTGTTCTTAACATATCCGTAACCCTAACCCTATTATGCGTAAACTAACCGATCACGTGCTTAATCACAACTCTGAACTAACCTGCTCTTAACCTGTCCCTAACCTGAACCTTAACACTTCCTATACAATCACGTTCTTAAGCCTACCTAAACCTCATCCGAATATAACCCTGACCTTAACTGGTATATAATCCTTACCTTATTTAACCTAACTACCCAACTTGCCTTTAACACGTCCGTAATCTTAACCCTATTTAACCTAACCTAAACTGCTCCTAAGACGTTCCTTACACTGTACTAACCCGTCCATAATCCTAACCCTGCTTAACCTGGGACGTTCCTATCCCTACTCCTAACTCAAACTCAACCTAACTTGACGTTAACCCGCCCCTAACATTACCTGTAAGATTTTTTATTTACGCGTCAGTTGATTTAATTGAGAGAAAATTTAACTCTCTAGGAACAGTCGCCCAAGGGAAATCCTAGATTTCACTTGCGTAACCTTTTTATCAATCAGCCTACGAATTGAAAGTCAAATAGGTGCAAAAGTTTCAAGAAGTCATATATAATATTTACTTTTTTCTTGCAGAAAAATTGCAGGGTGTTTCAGTTGTTGGCCCGTAGGTCGAAGTGAAACGGTGCCTCTGCAGCATAATTAGTACATAAAACCGAGATAATTTCCGGCAGTTAAAATATTCATTGGATTTGCGATATAATAAATTGTTTGGTTTGTAAGGATCAGATTCGTATCACGTTTCTGCAGAACCAGAAAACGAATCCTTTCCCCTGTACTTTCACTCTTTGATTTCGATCCAAAAAATTTTTCCGCCTTTCGGTTTTTAATCGTCTAAATTCAATAACCTGGGATGCCGTAAATCATCGTTTGGAGACGTCGCACCTACTCGCTGGAAAACGTCTCGACAGGACGAATTGGTCGAACAGTTTTGAAATGCGATAGGTCAAGAGATGAGTAGTTATTGACCCAAAAGCAATTCGAGGTCAAGGGTGTCGAGAGTAATAGAGTCAATAATTGTTTATACAACTCATTTGTGACATACACGAGCCGAGGCTATAAATCAAACTGTTGGTACAAGCAATTATGGCATTTATTAACAACTACTAAACAATTCTTTTGAACGTCTCCGAGTCCGCCACTGTCCCGGGTATTTTCGACCGTACGTTTAACATAACCGACCAATTGTCACATTTTCCCATCGTGTTCATTGCAATTTTGGCGCAACGCCGGCCATCGTGTTCACTTGGTGGTAAATCAATTGATTAAAAGAAAACATTTCGATAGAATCATCTGTAGAGTGCAAAAAGGTCATAAGCTCATCTATTCTGACATTCGATGGATTCTGTTCAACCATAATGTAAACAGTAGGTCGGAAATAGATTTTCTGCATGCCAGTTATGTCGACATGCCAATTATTCGTTGTGAATGCAATGATGGCGTCACTCGATTTCGGCGAGACAAGTTTAGACAATTCTGGCCGTCACAGTGGCAAATCAAAACAGTTAAAATTGACTACACCAAGGGCTCTCCGGTTCCTCGATGGCACCATTTTCAAACTGCCATAAAATAACAGCAATTGCCAGGAAATTTGGACAAAACTAGTAGGCATGTTCTGCCAAGAAGAAGAAAAACACCGCAGAACGTTTAATGATAAAAATGAATACCTTCTAGTTCACCCTAGCTCCGTCTTGCCTAAACTAACGACAGACCTGCAGGAGCAAAGTTAGACAAAACTGAGAGCCATTGCCGGTCTGCCAACTGGCCGACTCAATAGGCACGTGGAAATATTGGCAGTGGGAAAAGAAGATTCTCCCATGGTGTAAACGCAATAGGTAGATTCGTAATGATTAGGCCTGGTAGAGTTCCATTGAGTAGGTTTGGTTAGGGTAAGATTAGGGGAGAAATAATTTGATTAGGTAGATTTAGCTTTAGATTTGTTCATGAATGATTAGGTTAGAGTAAGTGTAGGTTAGGATAGAGTTATATTAGGTTACAAATCGTTATGTTAGGTAGGGTTAGGGTTTGATTAGGCATAGTTTTGTTAAGATAGGGTTAGTTAAGGTTTGATTAGGAATGGTATGGTTAGGAACGTTTAGATTAAGCAAAGTGAGGGTTAGGTTGGGATAGGGTTGGATTAGGTTAGGAATAGTGAAGTTAGGCAGGGTGAGAGTTAGGGACGTGCTAGGTAAGATAGGGGTTAGAGGGTTGGATTAGGTTTAGTTAGGAATGGATAGACACGGTAGGGGTAGGGTTTAGTTAGGTTATTAATGGTTAGGTCAGGCACGAGTGGTCGGGCTAGGTTGTGTTAGGTTAGGTGATAATGAAGTCTATTAAGACCGTGTATCACTTGCCCAGTTCATGCTGACTTTATCCCCTATGGGGTGGCTATTAATATGAACTGAGGAAATTAAATATTAGTCAAAATAACTTGATCAAATATTGTTAAATAAAGTTTTTGGGCTGGATAAACATATTATTTTCTGCGTTGCCATTTACGCGTTACCGGGGAGTCGCATGTAATAGGTTTAGGGGCCAGTTAGACTTGGCTATCTAGAATTAGGGTTGTGTTTAAGATTAATGTTAAATTTAGACATAGTGAAGGGGTAGGTTACAAATCCATGATCCAATGTTTATCAGCGTCAGCACATCCTAAGGTTCAAAAACATGAAATGTCCGGTTAAAAATTATCAAAGCCATATCGTATTATGGTCCGTTCAGTTAGATTTGTTAGGGTCTAAAAAGTGAAATTATCTGAGTCATTTCATAATTCTATTGGAACTTGACGTTAATAAACTTTATTATTGTATCGGTCCATTTGTACACATTTGTACATTATCATTTTAATTATTAAATTCACTAGTTATGTGGTCCGCTTGACCAATTAATATCTTACAATTAATTAAGTTTTTCAGTTGAGATAAAAATGGCAAAAAGGAGGGAAAATTCAAAAGGTGCGGTTGAGATGGGAAGTTGGTGTCCGAGTGGATCGAGGTCACGATAGCTCAAGTGGTAGAGCAGCGTCGTATCAAGCGGAAGATCGTGGGTTCGAATCCCGCTCGTGCCATTGACTTTTTTATCTCAACTGAAAACCTTAATTAATTGTAAGATTTTAATTATCATTTTCAAATTATATTTCGGAATAGGTTAAGGTTAGTGGTTAGAGATAGATTAGGCTAGGTTAGCGTTAGGAAGAAGAAAGAACTACCTGGTTTGTCCCTTAAAAAAATATGCCAGCCAATTGTGATCTTTTAAGTCCAAAGGAATCCTCCACGTCGGCAATTTTTTCCAAATTCAACGGAGATACTTTGGTAGATTAAGAATATTTTTGACAACTTTCTTTAAAGATATTATTTATCTTTCACTTTAATCCTGAAAAACCAGTTCTGGTTCAAATAGAAATTAAAAACTAATCATTCGACAGACAAGTTAAAAAAAAGCTTTGTCAAATTTTTTTAAAATTTTAATCAAATTGGCCTTTCACTTTTAATTCGAGACGTGTTTTAAACGGCTTATTTTAAATTGAGGGTTATCTCCGAAGATGATTGGCCAATAATCGTTATTGGTCGATAACCAATTTTTCAATTTTTTTTTTATATCGGCACTGCAGTTTAATTTCCACCTTCAAATAATTGTAATCTCATTAGGGGACAATACATATAGTAATGGGTTATAAGGTTCAGTGACATAATGTTCCATCTTATCTCGTTTTTCTTAGAAAAAAAGTTGATAAACATGCCAAATCGTATAATTTAAGACAGTCTGTTTGTTTACTTTAAAATGAACAGGAAGTATTTTGCAATCCTCAGGCTATTTGACACATGGGAGGGAAAATATTGAAAAATCTGCGTGACGATCCTGATATCTCTACATAAATTATTGACGGATCTTGACAATTAATAAACCGTTTAATGGCCACGTTCCGTTACTGTTATTAATCCACATAAAGATTGAGAATTCAGTCGTTTTTTATGACGGTAACCATGGAAGTAAGAAAAAAAAATTTAAAAATTCGCATACAAATTTTCAAATTTTTTCACCACTCATCACAATAAATACACGATTTCATAACACGCAACACATTTCACTACGACATATTTTATGTTTTCGAAAAGCGTTCCTGTCTATAATTCTGCAACACGTTTATTTATAGTTGAGGATCATGAACAACATCTTCGAAAGGCTTTGGAGGAGGTCGGATGAAGATAACTCGGACGAGTTCAGATCTAATTCCGTATCGAATTCGAACTTATATTCCAAGTTGGACGGAAAACTGAAAAAGGGCACGTTCAGCGAGGACTCGTACAGGTTCGGTAGGAAGTACGGCTACGCGCCCGCGGGTCCTTCGTCGAGCGGGATCGGCCACATCTCCGAGAACATAGAGATGCTCCATAAATTGGAAAACTTAGAGAGAGAGGTCGAATACCAAAAAGAGCACATCGCCAAAATCTACACCGAATGGGAACACCTCAAATCCCAGCTTATCGCCCAGACGTTATTCTGCGCTTCCGTGGGCGGATGCATAGGAACGATGTTTTGGAAAGGTGCCGTCGACCGGGAGGGTGTCAAGTACACGCTCAGCTCGTCTAAAATATCGGAATTCTTCAAATTTACAAACGGGATTCTCAACTCTTTCATATCCGTTTATAAAGAGAATATGCCGAACTTGGAGAGCGAAGAATCGCAGTTCGTCCTCTCTGTCTGCGGCTGCATAGCCAACATATCCGCCGTCACCCAGGGGGCGAGAAAGATCATCACGGATATAAACGGAAAAGAACTGGTCGAAACTCTGATTAATATTCTACCTGCAATTCCAAAACCAGCAGGCGATTCACTGAAAAGGTTTAGCATGCATTAATAATAATTGATTAAAATCTACACTACTTAACCTGGCCCGACATTAACACTAAACCTAACCTACCCTATCCCACCCTTACTTAACTGTTCCTAACCTAATCTGGCCCATCCCTAAAACTAAACCTGACCTATCCCAACCTAACTTAATTATTACTACCCTAACCCGTCCCTAACAATGAACCTAATCTACTCTATTCCTACCTAACTCAACCAAAAACCCTCGCTAACCTAACGTAACTATTCTTATCCTAACTTAAGCAAAAACATGTGCACTCCCTTATGACGCGAAATCCATGACTCAAAATTTGTCACAAAAGGAATTTATGTTTCAAGCCCAAAAACACATCCATGTAAAAAAAGAAAGAAAAAGTTCTAATTAAATTGCATGTTTGACAAATTTCACAAAATTTTCATTATCCAGTTATAAAGTAGGTCCCAAAACGAACTCCGTTGGTCAATCCTAGTCGTATAGTATCTTTTTTTTCATAATAAAAAGTTGCAACAAGCCACGAGGTGTTTTTTTTAATATATACGTTTGTTTTTCAATATGCTCCAAACATTTGTTTGGTAGTTGTTGCAACACATGTGGTGATTATTGCACAAATAATCATGGATGTGTAACCTTACTCATCCCTAACACTACATAACCTAACCATTCCTAACCTTAACTCCAATTTCTAACCAATTACAACGCTTGCGCTTTCCTTCCAGCTTGACCTATTGCTTTTAATTGGTTAAGTTACGTGTTAATCAAATTAATTATTCTTTTTATCTAAGGTTTTTGGCTGAGTTGAAAAACTAGTGTTACCAGCGGGATTCGAACTCGCGACCTTCGGCTCAATATGCCGCTGCCCCAACAACTTAAGCTATCTTGACTTCTCAAATGGTTTGAGCAGCGGCGTATTGAGCCGAAGGTCGTGGGTTTGAATCTCGCTTGTGACACTAATTTTTCATCCTGAACAAAAACTTTAAATAAAAAGAATATTTAATTGGGATAATTAATATTGTCAATTATGACCACTAAGCAAATATGGATTAATTTAGTGTTCATGTTGAAAGTGTAAAAATTGCGCAAATAAACTCCATTGTCAACCATATAGTGCCTTTTTCCATATTACAAAAGTGAAACTAAGCAAAGAGGTTTCCTGCGCTTTATTCAGTACCCCTGTTTATTTCCCAATTTTTATGCTAAAGTCAAATTCAGTTATACAATTATACAACAAAATCAATCAGAATCGTTGGTCTTATCATGAGCCTTTATGACATGGCACATGATGGTGACTGACTGTAAGATATTACTTTATGTAGAATCAACTTCAAATTTGCATATTATCTCCATTTAATTCATGACTGTGTAAACTCACCCGTCTTAAAGACTTAACCTGTCTCTAACCCTCGTCCTAATTTTTCACCTTACCATTCGTAACCTAACCTCGGCTGGTTTAACCTTCGGTCGTTGGTTCCATACCAACCTCGCCTCGGGAATTTCTGACCCCGTACTTCCTTACCACATTTGTCCCATACGGATATAATTTATAGAACAATACTTATTATTTTAATATAATTTGGGTTTTTTTCAGGGTGTTACTTGCGATCCTTTACAATATCGGAATGATCGGCACCGGTCTGAAAATGATCCAGACGAGGCAGACCTTGCTTCAGGCGTTAGCCGAGATACTACAGACGAGACGTCAGAACGAGCTCGTACTTATCGCTCTTCGCTTAGTAGAGCTGTTCACGAGCGGGATCCCCACGACAGACTACCTCTTCCTCTTGATCAAAATCGTCGGCAAAGATGTGATCGAGCCGTACAAGACGTCGGACTCTTTGGAGATCCGCATGTGCGCCGAGAGCATATTAATCAACTTCAGCGAGGCCGAATTCCAGCTGGGCATCCCGTTTCAGTTTACATGGCGTTCTGTACCTTTGATACAAGACAGCTCAAAAGACCCCAATATGACCTGACTGCCAACGTGAGAACCGATGTCGTCTATCAAAATCGTCGAATTATTGTACGATTGGAATACACAACTCAAAACAATTATACGTTCACAATCACAAAAATATTTCAGAGTATAATTTTATATCAGAGTTATTAGTATAAGCATAATAGCGTAGTTTATAACATTATAATAAAGGTAAGCTGCCATGGAACTGGTCATATTCACAAGCAGATTTGCAAGGTGGCTAAGGCTCATTGAAATATTTGTATAAAAAAATCCAAGACCTAGTTTTAAATAGTAGAAACTGCGCAATGGCGTCGACTGAGAAGAAGAAATGCAAATCTGACGACCTAGAAGTGCACCTTGAACTCTCACACATAGACCTGGTGGGGAGGAGTTGAGTGACTGAAGAATGAACTTTCTATCCTTATTCCTTGGAATAGACGTAACTGTCAACCTTCCCTCTCCTCCGTTCGTGAAATCTCCCCGGAAATTAAAAGTCGGCCGATTTTCAGACGGTGATCCCCCAGACCGCACGCCGCCGAGGGGGAAACCGCGGGACGAGCCGGCCCCAATGCGTTCCAACCGCTCACGCTGTATCATTACAGCCCGACCTTCTAATTGACTAAATCACATTTTTAATATTAAACGTTTCAAAATGTGAGAAACAAAATCCGTGGCTGGGCTCGTAGTGTCTATTTATTTCCCTATACAAATTTGAAATCCATGTATATTCTTTCAATGCTGATTTGTTTGAAGTGAAATTCAATAATACAATTATATAAAATAATAAGCATAATTGAACTTGTCATGAACCAATTTTTCAATGTTAGATGATTGTTGTCAAATTTCTATGTGAAAATTCGCTTATCGTAATCGCATATTTTCTCTTCTAGACGGAAAGAAAAGAGTCATGGATATGTAACCTTACTCGTCCCTAACACTAGATAACATAACATGTCCCAACCCTACTCTAACCTAACCTAACCTTTTATAACCTAACCTATCGTGGCGCATGCCAACTCATTCCAGCCTGAATTTCTAATACTTTCAATTGACTAAATAAACTTCGATTTTCAGCGTACTGTATGTAAGAGATAAAATGAATTAACCTGACCTGTCCCTAACACTAATCCTAACCCTAATCTAACCTAACCCTGCGTACTCGCATTAACTTAATACTAGAATCGAAAATAATCATGCAAAGAAATTTTGTATGCAGCCACAAATTCATGTTAAAACTACAACAGAGTACGTCAGAAATTCCACTTTGAACATTAAGAATATTGCACACCATCACGAGTGAGGCTAAAAAAAAAATAGCAAACATCTTTGAAGAACTACTGTGTTCACAACTAATATTCAAAAGCTTAAATTTTTGAAGATTATTCGTCGACTTGGTTGTCTCATCGTCCAGTAAGAGAAACAAATACTAGCAACAATAAAACAAGAGGGTCGACCATCATCGCAAGAAAACAATAAACAAATCTGGATACGGAAGGTGCAAAAATAGAGATTTTTTCTGTTAACACCTTGGATTTTGAACTTCAAAAATAGAAGGGGAAAATGAGTAACATCGGAATCGCGCTGGTGGAAAATTATTGGTCCGCCGCCAAAAGTTGTGCTACAAAAGTGTTACAAAATTATAATAAACTCAAAAGGAAATCTTGAATGGGGCAGAAGAACTTAAATTTAAATGTAATATAAATATTGAGTATGATAGATGGGTGAACCGATGTTGGGTTATTTCCGATTATTTTGGTCCGGCTATCTTCGCTGTTTTGGTTATGTCATACGTGTTTCGGCTTCTCTCTGGCTCTCTAGATTGTTCAATCAGATCTTAAGTAGTGAAAAATTGTGAAAATGGAAAACAGAAAAATAACAAAACTACTTCAGGAACCTGCGTTACTGGAGCAATGGGTTCTTTTCTAAATTCACCACCGGAATATATATACATAAAAGATTTAAAGTGGGTTTGTTTCTGGACTGGAAACACAATTTGGGATTTCGCGTTATCCGGGAGTGTACATGTTTATGTTAGAGGGTTAGGTTATGTAGAGTTAGGCTAGGTGGGGCCTGGGTTAGGGTTAGGAACGGGTTAGGTTACACATCCGTTTATATTATAAGCAATCTCTTCATCAGGGCGTTGCATTCGAAAATTCCTAAAATTTATCCAGAATATACATAGCAGTTAAACGGATTGGTCGATTATTGCTGAATGAGTTTCAACTGAACACCGACTTCACACACAAGGCAGATGTTTTTTAAAGAAAATGTGTTCACGGTCTTAACAGAGGGGAAAAAAAGTCAAATTCCTCGACTTTGTTTTCCTACCTTAAAATATCCGAGTTCCTGCCGTAAATACCTCAGAAAACAGAGTTCTTTTATTATTCGCAAGGGAAACAACACTTGCTAATCCGCAAAGTTTTACAACGTAGGTGGCATGTCTAATTGAACAAAATTAACACACCTGTATACTCTTCAATACTACTTTTTTAAAAAATGGTTTATGTCTGCGTTGGGCATGTATTTCAAAGTTATTATATATCTGATGATTTGTTTTTTTACCTAGGACAAATGAATAATATGCAGCCGTATTAAAAGACATTTTATATATAAATAATCCTGCCCCTATCCTTCATCCTAACCATTACTCTACTTAACTTAGCCTAACACGTCTCAACCCACACCTAATCTAATTATTTAACTGACGATTTGTTTTTTATCTAGGATAAAAAATAATAAGCCAAATCGTACTAAATGAGATTAGTTATATAGAAAACCTAACCTGTTCCAAACATTAACCCTAACTAACTCATCTCTAACACTACTCCTTCTAACTGCCGTTAAATGTAATTTAATTTTAATGTATTGCAAGGTTTTTCTTGATGTCTACAGGATAATGAGCCTGGTCCTTTGCCATCATTTTGGTCCGCCTATTCTCGTTGTTTCTACTTTTATCCGTCTTTACTGGTTGGTATGTGTTGAATTTATATAACATTAGATAACAAAAATATAACATTAGAGTACATAGAATACACAGAACCAGAACCCTAATCGTTTATTGAAGATTTTTAAAGATTCACTAATTTCGTGGTCCGCTTGACCAATTAATATATTACAATTAATTCAGGTTTTTGGTTGAGATAAAAAAGTCAATGGTACGAGCGGGATTCGAACCGACGATCTTCGGCTTGATACGCCGCTGCTCTACCACTTGAGCTATCGTGACCTCGATCCACTCGGACACCAACTTCCCATCTCAACCGCACCTTTTGAATTTTCCCTCCTTTTTGCCATTTTTCAAATGTCGTGTAATCGGGTTGGATTCTCGACGAAAAATGAAACCCGCTCGTGCCATTGACTTTTTTATCTCAACTAAAGACCTTAATTAATTGTAATTTATTAATTGGTCAAGCGGACCACGAAATTAGTGAATTTAATGATTTAAAATGAAGTATACTTCACTAAAGCTCTCCGTGGCCATTTCATTTGTCGTCGGGAATCCAACCCGATTACACGACATTTGAAAAATGGCAAAAAGGAGGGAAAATTCAAAAGGTGCGGTTGAGATGGGAAGTTGGTGTCCGAGTGGATCGAGGTCACGATAGCTCAAGTGGTAGAGCAGCGGCGTATCAAGCCGAAGATCGTGGGTTCGAATCCCGCTCGTGCCATTGACTTTTTTATCTCAACTAAAAACCTTAATTAATTGTAATTTTTAAAGATCTTGAACTTCCTTACACCGTTTCTAACCTGACCTAACCCCACCCATGTGCAAACCCTAACCCAGCCAATGCAAAAACAAATTTTTCCATCTATGTTAAAAATGTTAGACACTATTAGACGTTTCCAAGCGTTCTCGCCAACAGCTCTCATACTTTTTTTAAATATCGTTTTTTGCCGTCTGTTGTTTTAATATTAATATATATCTCACAATATGTTTTTTTAACCTATAATAAACAATAAAAATAAACAGGATAGTATTAAGAAGGATTAGACGTATAAAAATTTAAACCGTTCCTAACCTTAGCTTTAACCCTAAGCTAACCCTAATTGTCTCTACCCTAGCCATTTTTACCATAACCCGACTGAACCTAACCTAATACTTCTCTAACATTAACCTAAACTAAACTTGACTCTAACTCAACGTAAACAAATCATTCCTCAACTTGCCTAAACTAACGCTTCCCTAAACATAAACTAACTCAACCTTACCTCACCAAACCCTAACCTTACCTAACCAATGCAAAAAGTATGTATTCCTAAATCATATCCATGTTAAAAATATTAGACAAGTGTCTAAGGGTACGTGCCAATTGACCCTAGATGCGAGGAAAAAACCACGATAAGTAATTTAAGTAATTCCTTTTTTAAAAAATGGTTTAATAATTATGTGGTTTCAGATTTATTTAACTCATCCGAACCCTAACTTAACCTTACCTTAACCCTAATTCACCCTAACCTAACAAGCCCAACCAATGCAAAAAAGTGTTCCCTACATAACCAAACTATTCCTCAGCAGCCTAACCTAGCTCATTCTTAATCGTAACATGAACGTAACCTTAACCCAACCGAATCTAAACCAACCTGACGCCTCTAACCATAACCTAAACTAAACATGACTTCAGCTCTACATAACTACATCATTCCTCACCTAACCAACTCATACCTAACCATAACATAAACTTAAACTTAACCATAACGCAACCAATGCAAAAACAAATGTGTATATTTAATCGTCAAAAAATGTCCGTGTTAATCATGTTAAACACGGGTCCAAGCGTTTTTGCCGATTGGTTCTAGTAATGGAGAAAAAATGTAATTTAAGTAGTTTTTTATATGGTCTTCTGTCTTTGTGGTGCGTGTATTTCAGGGCTGTTATATATCAGTCGATTTTTTGACATAGGATGAAAAAAATGATATGCAGGATTTTATAAAATGAGATTTCATATGTAAAAAGTTAAAAAACCAAACGATGCTGTGAGTAAAGTAGGTCAAAAAGATTATTTGTGAAAATATAATTAGGGTTATTTTTAAGCACCCTTTAAAGAAAACAAATAATAGAGATAGTTTGGGTAGATTTACCAGGGGCAATTTTTAGTTCTCAGGTGTCCT